GAGAAAACTCTCAGTCATTGCATTTGCAATTTTGCATGGTACATAAGGCGGTGCTCAAGCACTGAATGTAAGGAAGGCACTTGGCCTACATACTCCTAGAAGATCATTATTATCTGCATCCAATTTATTTCTTCTGTTTGTCTGAATTTCTTCCTTGACATGAGGTTACTAACTTCAGATGGAGATGCTGTAAGGAACACCCTTTCCAGTAACTCCAGACTCAGAGAAAGGCTTCAAAAGCTCATATGGCAATATCCCAACTCCAGTTCTGTTCTTGAAACATTTATCTCCATTCCTTGCATCAATAGTCCCTTCAATTTCCTTCAGCCTCCCATTGAATCTTTCAAATGCGCCCTTTATAGCAGGAATCTCATTCCATGCCGGTTCTGTTTTGTCTCCCAAGTACTCCTCGTCCGGAGAATGATTTGATAACACGTCCAAAATTGCCATCACTCTAGTTGCTTGAATCTGTGAAGGGAAGGTTTGCAGAAGCAGCACTTCAGGTTTCGTAGAGAAGAATTTCCATTCTTCCTCGTTCCCGTCTTCAACAGGCATCTTGATTCTAGCAATTGTTGGTCTGTTAGGGAAGTAGCCTCCATACGCATATTGGCCAAAGTTTACAGCTGCATGGTGACCTGAAGCCACCCATGCCATAGTTGTAACAATGTGAATTAGGTCCTCTGGGGTCTTGAGGACAGGCCACCATGGTTCATCCTTCTTGTCAGCATGCCCAACTGTTCGGATTTCAGTCCACCATGCCTGAAGCTCTTTGTCAGACTCTACGCAACTTGCATCTGGGTAATAGTGATTGACATAGTCAGTAAACCATTGTTTGAGGGCATCCCAGAGAAGAAGACCATCATTGGCAAAGGGGTAGTCTTGAATCGTTAGCCTTAGGCCATGAGGAGCAGATGGGTCCTCAACAGCCAATCCCCTACTAATTAAATCTGCAGGCAGTGCCTGGTGGTCAAATCGCCATTGCAAGTCATAGGCAACGGCACTGACCTCCAAAGAATACTTCCCAGGCGTGAACGAGGTCTCAATGATCCCTTCAGAATTGATTAGAGCTTCTCGAGCCAGTGCATTGATCTCCATTGTGTATCGGAAATGAGGATGAAGCAATCTATAGATGGGATGCATCCTACTGAGTTGTCGGTTGGTAGCAATTATGTAAGGTTCTGTGCAACAGTGAGTTCTCAACCTGCATTCAGAGAGTTAGTTAATCTTACTTCCCTGAATTGTCTCGAGGAAATCAAAGACTCCATCAAAAAGTTTCAGAGAGAGTGGCAGATACCAGTGACTGACAAGCTGGTGATATCCAGCATCATGAGCAAGAACATGAGCTTTTGCAAGCCTCCAGAGCCAAACACTAGTGGAATGCCAAGCAGGAGTAAACACTTCCTTCCACTGTGGCTGCCCATTAATGAGGGGTCTAGTCAGCTCGATGGCTAAAGCCCTTAAAGTATCATCTGGGTTTAAGAAGAACAGTGTTCTTGATCCATATAGTGTCGTCCCTTTGAGCTCTCTCACTTTCTTGACATATGGTAATAAAAAGTCATGGTAATCCAAGATGAACAACTTTTTTTGTTTTATAGCCTGGATATAATCACAAACAGGAAAACCAAATGTATTAGAGATAATTACCAAATAATTTATGCCTATTAAAGCCTTCAATTAAGTGGTGCTGCAGATCCGAGTATCCTTATTCTTAATTTATCTAAAATGAATTTGAGCACATTATATTCCAACAATTTTTTTGATCACCCGAGTAATTCTAATAGAAAAGCTTAAAACTTTTACAAACATATCCAGGAAAAATAAAGGGAAAAAATCATAAATGGAGTTTTCATGTTTTTTATTTGAGACTAATAATTGGGTCTAATGTGTACCTCCTCAACAGACATGAAACCCTTGATTGCTTGCTCAATCATTTCAGTAGTGATTGCAGATTCTGCAGGTCCATAAATTTTGGGATCCAATTTGCTCTTCAATGGCCATTCCTGCACGATTTTGATAGAAATTTCAGAACTTCAATAATTATCACATTCACGAAACACCACCTGTTCAACAAAATCTCTCAATGTCTTACCGTGACTAACTGTAAGCTACATGGGTTGAGACCAGCGAGGGTCTGCCGAGCAAATTCCTCGTCTCTAAACCAAAAGAATTTATCCCCTGCAAATCAACCCAAGCCAATCAGTATTAGTCTGCTTCTAACTAGGGGGCCCGAGTCAAAGAGAAAAGGCTAATTAGGGTTCTTACGATCCATCGTTTCAGGAGTCTCAAATCGCAGCAAACTTTCACGTCCATCAGAGATGGCCTTGAGAAGCCGGGGAAGAAGGTCTCTCCAAAACCCCTGCTTTTGAAGGGCCGGTAAGTTAATCCCCTCATTGAACAACTGATCTATGGCCGTGAAGTACGGAAATCCGAGGTCAGCGTCCACAAGCGCGGTCTCTAGCGACGGCACCACCGCGTGAAGCACCGAATACACCGTCTTTGCAGAGAACGTTAGCTGCTTAACTTCAGAGAAGCATTCGTCCCTGGGCACGTAGACACTGCTGCTCCTTACCTCGGAATTTGGATCTGCATGAAACCGAACAGAAATTACCAATAATTTTACAAATCAGGCACTTTCTATCCAACAATTTCCTTTTTCTTCCTCTTTCTTTTGCTTTTCCTCATTTTCGTCCAAAATATTGGATGAAATTCATTTTTCCTCCTCCAATTATATTCCTACTTACATTTTAATCTCCAAACAAAAAAACTTTTTGGATTTGGTTCATCAATGTTTTTTTTAATTACCATGAAGTCCTCAACAGTTGAATAGCAAGTGATTAAAGATTTTGTGCTCCTTTTTAGATTACATATTACCAATAGATATCCTCAAATCTAAATTTAAAGTGTCCAATATAAAACTACAATTATTGATCCATCTTTTAACTATTATTGTCATTGTTTATCTTTTTATTTTATTCAGAACAGTACAAAATATCTATTTCCTCGTATTCTAATTGTGTGGCTAAATTTTAAGTCCATCTTATCTCAAGAATACTCCACGTGTCTGCAATAAGACATGTCAGTTTGTCCCATTAAAGGGAACGAGGAGGGACCATTATTGGTTAACATTATTTTTTTTTTTTACCCTAATAAAAGGACATTGCATTAATTATTTTTACCTGTTTTACAACGTTGGCGTCCTGTTCGGCAACGCCTAGGATATTTGAATTCTTTCCCCCCCAATACCGGTCTTTTCTTACTGGGATTACTATCCGGGTCGCCAAGATCATTGTAAACATCATAATCATAGATCCTTTCGAAAGTCTTGCGCTCTCCTTGTCCATTTCCTCTCAAAATCACAAGTTCTTCCTCTCTTAGCCGCCTCAGTCCACTAGGTGTGTTTGATGGCAAATATGACTGTTCCAAAACCCAAGAAAAAAAAAACAAAAAAGAGGAGTTATATATAATGAAAATATAATTCAAAACCGAAGATTACATGCTTATATATTTCATTATATATCCTTTCATCAAGAAAAGAGAACGAACAAAGCATTATCCTTTTCTTAGGTGATTTAACTCGTGAGGTGAAAATGGAAGAGATGGAAAGGGGACTGCTTTTGACAGGAATGTGTAAGTGCCATGTTCAGGGACCACCTCCATAATCTTTTCTTGATTTTCTATCTAAAGTCAATTAAGGAGCAAATAATTTTATCTTAGTGCTAGGTAGGGTAACTATCAAGGTACAACACTCAAACCCACTTTAAAGGGCCAGAGTAGAGTACAATTATTGTTGCTCCGACAAGCCAGCGACATCTCATCTCATCTTTTATTTGAAAAAAGGACATATAATAATTAGTTAAATTGTTAATAAAATATATTTTTATGTTTGTATAGACAAAATTTGAATTATTATTTCCTTCTCCACTCCACTTCTGAATAAGAATTTCAATTAGTTCATTTGTTCTATAAAAGAAAAAAAAAAGGAAAAAAAGAGAGAGAGGGAGAGAAAGAAATAGGGTAACCAAAACCGATTGGTTCAATTTTGGTTTTAGATGTAAAAACCGTATGTTTACAGTTTGGTTTCTTATTTCAGGATCCACAACCAAGGAAAATAATATGTCAGCCTTACCTCTTAGAATTCTTATGTCAAAATTATGAAATTTTAATAAATATCATTTAATTTTTTCTAAAAATTATGTAGCTTTAATACATCGTTTTATTCTCATTCCAAAATTAATTAGAGATTATTTATTGAACCCATATAGTTTTGTGAAACAAGTAAATAAATGGATATAAAATAATAGTCTGAAAATATCAATTGAAAATGATTTGGGGACATTTTTTTTTTTTTTGTACCTCTTTTTGAGACAGTCTAATGTATTATTTAAATAATTGACTCTTTTAATTCATGTGGAATTTATGATATTAAATGCATCCATTCATTTAATGACATATGAAAGTTATATAAAAAAGTAGTATAAAAAAGCTGTCCCAATAGCACCACTTATATCGGTCAGATAAAATGTATGTGGGAAATTTCAGTAGTTGGAAACCTTTGAGATTCATTTTAATTAGGTCCAAAGCATATAAATAAATCAGCACAAAGCCGAATCAAACCTTGTAGTTTATTTTCCTATGTAAGTTCAATTTTGATTTCATGAGTTACACAAAACTGAACTGAACCACAGATAAAATCTAGAATTTTCTATTCTAGTTAAGAATGGGGATAATGCTTCTGTCAATTACGTATATATCATATGGAATCATGACATCTAGATATGTATAAATATTATATAAGAGTGTTTAAAAGAATGTCCCTAACAATGATACTAATGAATGAGATATATATGGTAATTGGTTTATTCACCCAAGCTAAATTGTTAAGATGACCAAATTTATGATAGTTTAAGTTCTAAAGTTGGTGGTTTTCACTATGTGATTTGTAGCAACAACCATTACTTGAGATATGATGAACCAATTAATGCATATACAATAAGTTTATAGGTGCAACTATTGTAGTACAGTACTTTTCTTTTTTTACAATTAATTGCTTTAAAAATAAATTTGATCTTGATGCAAATATTAGTTAGGAGTAGTTGAAAGGGCTAAAATTCATCAATTTTATTTTCAAGGCAAGTAATTACTATAGAAAGTAGGGTATTTATAGGATGTGCAATGCGTTAATTGCACATTTGTTTCAATAATTATTATAAAAAAATTGTTTTTAATTTTATCAACCTTCATATTAAAAACATTAATGTGAGGTTTGTGTTGAAAATGAAATTAATTTTTTATGAATTAATGAAGAAAAAATGCATTTAATAATGCACTTAGAAAGTTCCAAGAAAATATGCAATAACTGCATTATGCCAAAAAAATTACCAGTTGTCATAAGGGCACACATATATATGAGTAGTACTGTAGTAGTATTCCTCCTTCCTATTTTACTCCTAAGATATTTTATTAATAAGATTATAAGGAAAAATACAAAAATGTATTATCAACACATTTATTAATTGTTGAAATTTCAAAACTATCTTTAATATATTTAAATTTAAAAAGTAGTATTAATCCCTCCAACCATTTTATTTGTCAAACCATTTCAAAAGAAGGTGGTCAAATTTACTTATTAATTTTTATATTTTTTTTTTCTAATTTTTTCCCTATTAAGACTTCCTAATTAACTACTTCTTTGAAAAAGCCTTAATAATTACTCCAGTTTTTGAAAAAGAGCACATCCATAGCGTAGTATTATAATATGTTTGATTTTAGGGGAATGAAGATGAAAGGAGAGGAGAAGAGGATTTATTGACCAATTATATTATAATATTTTTATTAGTTAAAAAACTCTTCTCTCCACCCTCCTTCATTCGTCTCAAATTAAATATATTATTAAAGTTATATAGGATAAATATGGTGGAAAAAAATGAAAAATAATTAGTACACACTTAGTTTATACTTGGTTTAATACACTTTTTAGCACTTAATCTAATTTAGCTATTAAAATATAATATAAATACAATTAATTTAATCAATTTTTGCATCTTATGTGTATGGCTAAATCTTTATATAAGTTTGTTTGCTTGTAATTTCATATTAAAAAATATTAATTTTTTAATAAATATGTTGTATATTGTATTAAAATAAAGTATGTACCAATTACTATTAAAAAATAGAGTAAATATGAAATTTTAATTTGTAATAATTGGATTAAATTATAAATAAATTTTTGTATTTTTTTCAGTAACCTTGTTGAGTAAAATTTTCCAGAATGGAGTATATATGCTTGGAATCAAAAATTAATTAGGTTTAGAATTTTCAAACCTTGTTGGTGAAGAAGACTCTCTTTTGGGGGTTGTCATACTTGGAGTGAACCCAAGATTCACAATTCACATCAACCGGTCCATTGCAGAAACCATCAAGGACAATATTCTGCAAAAACATCTCCTTGTGGTGCTCATTCTCCACAAGGACAGCTCCAACCTCTCCAAAATCCTCCGGAACTGTAAACTCTGCCTCATACTTCGCTTCCGTCTTATCATGCTTCACCCGGTGTGCGTACGCCTGAATCGTCTTCTTCTCCAACCCCGTCTCTACCACCCCAAACAGATAAAAAAAAAAAAAAAAAAAGGGCAAAAAACCAACAAAGAAGAAGAGAGTTAATTAAAACTCATTCACATATATATTTTAAGCATACCATATGGTCTTGAATGGAGCTTACTCCG